ATGGATGGAGAGGATGAGGATGAAGATGAGGGATAGGAATGGAGATGGATGGAGAGGATGAAGATGGGGATAAAGGTGAGGATGGATGGAGGGGATGAGAGTGAAGATGGGGATGGGAATGGAGATGGATGAAGGGAATGATGATGAAGATGGGAACAGATGAAGGGGACGAGAAAGAAGATGGAAATGAAGAAGCATAGGAATGGAGGGGAGTATGGATGAAGATGAGCAAGAAGGATGAAGAAAAGCCTGGGTGGGGATGGCTGGGACCCCTCACCCTCCAGCGCCTCCTTAGATTGGAGCAGGCTCCGTCCCTCGGCCTCCAGCTGCTGGTTGCGGGTCTCCAGCTGGGCCAGTTGCTGCTGCAGCTGGAAGATGTTGCTCTCCAAGCCCTCCTTCTCCGACCTGCCGAGACACCACGCTGCCGAAACCGGGGGGTGTGTGGGGAGGGTGGGGAGACACCCTATCACCCCCCAACCCCCCCAGCACCCACCTGAGCCCGGCTGCCTCCTGGGCCTGATCCTGGCCGTGGCGCTGGGCGGCCGCCAGTTGGACGGCCAAGGTGGCCCCCTCCTTGGCCAGTCCCTCTCGGGCCCGGCTGAGCCGCAGCAGCTCGTCCCGCAGCCGCTCCTGCTCCCCCCGCGCCTGCGCCAGCGCCTCCCCCGCCGCGCTCTGCTCCTGCACCGCCTGCCGGGGCACGGCCCTCAGCCCCACCGCCCGGTCACCCCCCAACAGCCACCCAGGTGACCCATGCCTCCGCCCAGGTGACCCATACATCCTCCCAGGTGACCCACACATCCTCCCAGGTGACCCACACATCCTCCCAGTTGGCCCATGCATCTGCTCTGGTCCTCCCAGTTGCCCCATGCCTCTTCCCAGGTGACCCATGCATCCACTCTGGTCCTCCCAGTTGCCCCATGCATCCTCCCAGTGGCCCCATGCCTCCTCCCAGTGGCCCCATGCGTCCCCTGTGGTCCTCCCAGTTGCCCCATACCTCCTCCCAGTTGCCCCATTCATCCACTGTGGTCTTCCCAGTTGCCCCATGCGTCCGCTCTGGTCCTCCCAGTTGCCCCATGCATCCTCCCAGGTGACCCACACATCCTCCCAGTTGCCCCATGCCTCCTCCCAGTTGCCCCATGCGTCCACTCTGGTCCTCCCAGTTGCCCCATGCATCCTCCCAGGTGACCCACACATCCTCCCAGTTGCCCCATGCGTCCGCTCTGGTCCTCCCAGTTGCCCCGTGCCTCCTCCCAGTTGCCCCATGCCTCCTCCCAGTTGCCCCATGCATCTGCTCTGGTCCTCCCAGTTGCCCCATGCCTCCTCCCAGCTGACCCATGCAGCCCCTGTGGTCGTCCCAGTTGTCCCATGCCTCCTCCCAGTTGCCCCATACACCCCCCAAGGTGCCCCATGCCTCCTCCCAGTTGACCCGTCTGCTGTGGTCCTCCCAGGTGACCCATGAATCCTCCCAGGTGACCTATGCATCTTCCCAGTTGCCCCATGCATCCACTCTGGTCCTCCCAGTTGCCCCATGCCACCTCCCAGTTGCCCCATGCCTCCACTCTG